TTCTTTTAAATTCATCGTTCAGTTTCGACCACACAAAATTACCCCGGCATTGTTGTTAATCAAAGACGATTGTGAGGGAGGAACAGACGCAAACAGGAAGTTTACGTTCTTGCTTTTGGCAAGTTTTCTTTCCCACTTCACTGAGTTTCGAAACTGCCATTGTACCATTTATGACTTGATAAGCTTAACGAAAAGCCGATCATACACGCCAAAAGAAGAAAATTCGATTTTCAGCTGGAAATACAATACAATACTGGTTTATTCATCATGGTCTATTCCTCATGAATAAACCAGTATTGTATTGTATTGTCGGTCTCTGTCTGTGCTTAAGCTAACTAAAGCTCCTTCCCCCAAATTTTGCATAAAGTATTGTTGTGAAATAACGCTTGGTTAATGCTTCATTTGTGCTTGATGAAGGCGTTTTTTCCAAAACCTCTCTAAATATGCCACTTAGCACTTTTTGTTAACTTAAACTAAGCAATGCAACTTAAAGTGATATACAGCAACAAGTTGTTTTTATTGCTGGAAAATGCAGAACTCCCAAAAGCATTTGACAACAGTAGTTTAAGGAAATTTCTTGGAGCAAACAGAGTGAATTATGGGCAATTGGAAAATAGAAAATGCAAAACAGAGCATTTAAGTCGCTAGTCTCGAAACCCAAACTAATTGTGTCATAACGTCATACGAGGAAGAGAATTTAAAATTCAGCAGATAACTGTAAAATGATTGACTCTTCTCTCCTTAGTTTCTTCCCATTCGTGTGCCATAGGAATCTTCGGATCATAATCGTTGGATCATTCAAGAAAAGAATCACCAAACCCGAGCATTTTTACATTGGCAAACTTTCCGGTTCATTATGTTGTTCTCCTAGTAAATTCATAATTCGGTATTTATGGACCCATAAAGACATTGAATGGAGGGTTTCATGGTTCGGCGCATGTCTGTATTATTTATTCGCCTGTGCATGCTTTTTGGCCCAGGCCCAGTTTTTCATTGTTTATGAACCAACCGTAAGCAAGTAACCTAATTTCGCATGCAAATAGCCGGAAAATCATCAACCGTATAATAAATCGTACGGTTTAACACTAAATTCATTGTGCCACGACTAACTATAGCATGTGATTACTGAACTAGATCTGCGTGGGGATTTTAAAGCGGTAACATTGATTAGAAGCGAGCAAACGTATTTTGATTTAGAGACATGCGCCGAACCGTGAAACCCTCCGTTTAAACTGCCACTTTATCTTGGCTGTACTTTCTACCCAACGTGAGGTAAGCATCTTTCTCTTTGTGAAATCATAACCTAGGCTTTGTAAGAGAGGCAGCCTGTCTCTTGCTCTAACATCCGTTAGAAGGAACAAAAAACGATCAGCAAAGGAGCAGGCTCGCCGCTCGCATATGGGGCTCGTTAGCTCAGTTTGCCGTCTCCGAGCTTTTTTGAGCGAAATAGAGAAGCTCGAAGTCTAGGAAGATATTAAAAGATCACAATATCGAAAAACAATTCGGCGCTGTTCAAAGCTTTGTCGAGGTTTTATTTTTATCTGATGTCATCCGAAATTAAGGTGTAGAGAAATGACGCCAGTTTTGTAGCTTGCCACCGAGAAAAGTATTTCGAGAGTAAATTTGTTCATTACTTAACTGGAATTTTTAGTATGTCTTGTGTTTGTCTCGTGATTATCCATGGCTAACCATCAGTCAACGTAAAGGTTAGTCAAGGTCAGCCTTCACATATTTCACCTTGTACTAATAAGTTTTGTTGCTCGCTTTGTCTAGCTTCTCTGCTTTGAGGTTGCGAAACACAATTTCCGCGCGCTCTCTTGCTAATGCTATTCAGCGCGCACACAAGGATTACACAAAGCAAACATGTCGTCGATACAGTGATCATTTTATTTGGCCAATGAATTCACTATCTGTGCTTTTTTAACTGCGTGGCCATGGGCCCAGCGCGGTTCATGTTCTGCACGGGTTTATTTTATTTTTTGTTTTAGTTTCGTCGGTGACCAGACGCAAATTTTTTGTCGGCCAAATTTTGAATCGCGCAACCTGTGATGTTTATTCGCCAAAAGTTGTTGAAAAATTAATACACGGACAATGTTACAGAGATTATTTTCTTTACTATGTGTAAAATATGTTTTATTTTGGTTTTATCGAAGCGTTGGATTTGAAGGGAATGTTAAATACGCTAAAAGAAGGTATTACGTCAGCCATTGAATGCGCTGACGTTGAAGCTTTCACTTTCGCAACGTGACATATAAGATTGTGTTTACTTTACAAGTTTATCGCGCCAGAAGTGACGGCAATTAATATATTTGCAATTTTGCGAGTATTTCTTTTGGGTTTAGGCAATTGAAGTGAATTATTTGGCTGTTTCGTCGAAGTGAGTTAAGAGATTTGAAGGAAACAAGAGCTAGCGAGAACTTGCAGCGTTTATGTCAATGCTAGGGGAAAAAAACAACCATTCTAAAATAACCGTGGATAGCGTAAACCTCGGGTTGTGTGACTCACGTGACTACTTTCTTGCCCTTTGCTCATAGCACAAACAAATTAAATTTGACTTTTAAGGAAGAAAGTTGTTTATTAATAGCGTTATTAATAGCGTGATACTCGTTTCCTTTTGGTATCATTCGTGGGCATGTCCCGAGCGAACTTCCAGATTAAGATTTTACAAAAGCTACTGAAGAGCGCTGGTGCAATAATACAGTTCGTGTTGATCAATTTATGTGGTGTCTACAGCAATCAATGAATCATCAAGGACTGCTTTGGAATGTGCACTGCGTTGCGACTGTAGTGCTAAGAAAACAGTTACATTTTAAAAGCGCGGTTATAAGATCTAAAATATCTTCTTATCTCTTCATAATTGAACACAGTGTATTTATGGCTTTACTCTTTTATTAAAAACGTATGTTAGAAAAGGTAACAATGGCACATGCGTAGTTAGGGAAAAAATTGCGACTGAATGCGGAATAGCTTTCTTGGAAATACGCTATTTCTAGAAAACCACTCATTAGAATTTCATGAAATTTGGTACGAAAATACTTCAGAAAACAAGTAACGAATATTGAAAAAAAAATTGAAATTTAGCAGAGGCAATTCTAGATATTCCATTTAGCCTTCTACAAGGTCTCTCTGTTAAACTATTATTAAAATAGTGTTAACTTGTGAGCATTGTTACAATCTTGGTGCATGCAAATGAAAAAAAAATCTTACGACTAGATTTTCTGCAAACAAACAAATCAATTTTAAATGCCTGTTCATATTTATTCCTGTTGCCATGACAACGGCACATACGTCTGCTTAGCTATCAAAAAATCTGAATTTTGTGTTGTTAAATTGCGCGTTGCCATTTTTGATGACCAAAGTATTAAGGGTTTTGGAGAAAAAGAAGAATGAAACACAGGTATCAAAACTGTGTTCGGCCACCTTAAAAGACTTGTACTGTATGTTCTTAAGGTTAGTAGCAGCAGTAGATTAAAAGCCGTTGGAAGCCCCAAGACTCTCATTAGGTCTTGCATTAGCGCGTTGACAGACTATGAACTGTCCAATACTTGTTCACCATTCACTGATCCTAAGGGAGACAATCTTGGACTATCACGTTTGCAATAGCTTGAGGAATTTAAGAGTGCCTGCCTGTAAAAATCAGACAAATTCTTAATTTCGCGGCAAGGGTCGAAAATTCGATTTCGCTCATTTCCCTATGGTAGATAGGCTAGGGCATGAC